CACTATATTTTTATTTATTCTATAATTAATCTAATTAATTAGTTTAATATAAAATTAAAGTTACCTATTTTTTTTTATTTGATTTTTAATATAGAAATATAATTAATATTTATAATTTGATAAATTTCTTAAATAAGAAAAAATATATTGAAATAAAATCTTTTTATTATATACATATTTAATTTATATATATAAGATACATTATATAATTATAATTTTATTATATTAATTTATTAAAGGTATTATATTAAAAATTATATATAATAAAAAAATTTTAAAAATCATAAATTAAATAATACTTAAATTTAAATATATTAAAATCAGATTATAAATTTTAAATTAGATAGATTTCATTATATAAAAAGGTATCAGTAAAAAGAAAAGTCTAAATTTTTATTAATTTTAATTTTTAAACTAATTTTAAGTATATAACTAAGATTACTCAAATAAACCAATAAAAAAAATTCTATCAAAATTTAAATTTTACTCTTTTTTATTGATTATTATCTATACATTAATTTAATTATATAATTAAAATTTTAAATAAGTGATATAAGAATTATAAAAGTTAATATATATAAATATTTTATAATAAAAAAGAATAAAATCTTTAAAAAATAAATTTTAATTTATATATTAAATATTAAAATATAAATTTTGTAGCAAAAAGAAAGAAATTATAATAAAATATTTTTTAATCTTTAAGTTATATATGATTTTTTAGTAAAATAAATTATGGTTTAATATTAACTCAAAAATAAAAAAATTTTTAATTTTTTTAATATTCTATTATAAACTTATTTAAATTTAATATTCAAAAATTTATTTTAATAAATTTCTTATTTTGTATTATAAATACTTATATAATTTTAATAATTTTTTTATATTATTTAAAAATAAAATAAAAAAAGAAATCATATTTAATAAATTATTAATTTTTCTTATAATTATATTTTTTTTAAAATAGTAATTTTATTAAATTTTAAATGTTAAAATTTCAATTAATATTCAATTTAAATTTGATTTGAATTGATTTAATTATCAGAGTTTTAAATCAAATTAATTAAAAATTTTAGTTAAATATAATTTTAAATTTAATGAAATTATTATTTAAAATTTTGCTTGATTAAATTTATTATTTATTAAAAATTAAAGGTAAGTTTTATAATTACTTTTGAATTACAATATAATTACAATATTAATAAATTTAATTGTATTATGAGTTTTAATTAAATTACATTATTTTCAAATAATTATAATATTATCTTTATAAAATAATTATGATAAATGATAAAAATATAAATATAAGCAAATTTATTTATTATTAATTAGATTATTTATTATTATTTAATAATTAGATATAATTTTATTAACATTTAATTAGAATGAGAATTATATTAAATTTAATTAAATATTGAAAAATGTAATAATTTATAAAATTTATCATATTAAAATTTATATAAATTTACAGTATAACTATTTTGCAAATTTATGCAAATTTATATTAAATTATACAAATTTACAATTTTATGATTTATTATCATAATTTAATTATTGTTTAAGAAGAATGCTTGAATTAATATTATTTTAACTGAATAATTCATTAATTTTCCATTTGAATGATTATTCAAAAAGTATATAAAATATTATTCCTTTAAATTAATATAAGAATTATTAAAAACGTATTATTCTAAAGGATTAAAACATATAGACTTACAAGTTGAAATGAATTTTAATTTTGGTACTTTTAATATTAATATTTAATTAAAATAAATTCATTTAATAGATAATAAAAATATTTAGGTATTGATTTTATTAGAGCAATTTAAATATTTATAAATTTAAATATTAATTTCATTATCTAGCTTGAATATTTGTAATGATACACTTTAACATTATGACCAATATTATTTATTTCTCTGACGAAAATCTTATAGTAAACACTTCAAAAAACTATAAAATATATTCAATTTTAAAAAAAAAAAAAAAAAAGTATAAAACTTAAAAAAGTTGTCGAAACTTAACATTCGTCCGGTAATACATACTTCTTTATTTTTCGTTTTAAAAAAATTCCAATGAAGTGTTTCACATTTTAAACTAATAATAGAGTTGATAAACCAACGGGAAATTTTTTTTAAAACGCGTCGATTTTAACATCAAAAGTGGAAATTAGAAATTCATCGATTAATTAGTTTCCATGTCACGATAATCAACATTCACCTTCCTAATGTATTGAATATTTCGTTAATATAGTGACACGAATTGATAGATAGAATCTTGTGAGTCGCATAAGAACGCAGGTTGAGTTAATGGAAAATGTTTGTATCAAAAGTTGTATTATTTAAACAGACAATTTGGGGGTTAAAAGATTTTCACTAGAATTAGTCTCAATAAGCGTTTTTTTTACAAATGGATTGAGCTAGGGATTGAAATCATTTGCCAAATACGGTACAAATCCATTTATCATGTATGGGATTGAAGTACCACCGAATGAAAGGTTTTTGGGTTTGGATCATTCATTCCCGTGAAAAAAGAACATCCGGAAAGTACATCCCATTTTGAATTTTAAATTATTTGATCATCGAACATTCATTAGGAGAAGTTTTTATTAAGATTAGTATCAAATTCAAAAGAACGATCGTAAATAAGGTTATTCGAAATTGTTTAGTCGGACTTTTAATTCTTGAACGACCCATCCTACAAACAAACTGGTAGCCAAGTAAACGTATGTGACGTAGTATCGTAGTCATATGAACTTCATATGAGAAGTAAGGGATAGTTCAAACCCCGATTCATACTTGCTGTAAGTGCCCAAGAGGGAAAGCCATTGAAATGTTTTTAATTGTGAATATTCAAAGATCACACCCTTTTTGAATTTGGCGAGGCTCTATCAAGAACGTGTCAAGATAATCTTGAATCCGAATACCTTTTTTCCCTTTAAAGTGGATTATCAATAAATAAATATATATATATATTTTTTTTATTTTATTTTAAATAATTCGATCATTTACGAAACGTGGAAAAATTTTATCGAATTATACACAAATCGAAAAAATAGATATAATTCAAGTAATTTTTTTTAATTTTTATTTTTGTCGGCACAATAAATCACATTGTGCCGAAATCGACGATCGTTTTTAATTTGTTTAACTTTGTTGAACAGATAAAATATTTTAATTAACCAATAAATTTACGCCATAAACAAATAAAGTTTTACATTACGTTATTTTGATTTTTTAAATATAAAACCTCCTCCAAAACACAATTGGCTAAATTTTTTTTTGCCAAAAGAGTTTCCTTTTAAAAATTCCCTTTTTAAACTAGTTTATGTCTTTCATTGGTAATAAGACGAATTAGTATAAAATTAAAAATCCGATGCAATTGAAAATTAAACTTTTATGGAGCGACACAAAAAAAAAAAAAATGTTAAAAAAATATTTGAATAAAGGGTTTTTTTTTTTTTTTTTTTTTTTTTTTTAAAAAAAAAATATTATTATTACCCTTTGGGAATGTATTATTTATTATTCGATGAAAAGAAAAAAGGGGAAAGAAAAAAAATAAAAAAAAACTAGTTTGTTCTCTTGCCGAGTAATAATAATAAGTGAAATTTATTTATTCAATAATAACAAATATAGGTAAATTTTTGTTGGGGTTAATGATACCTTTGTCCCTTTGATACAAAAAAAAAAACTTGATTTTTTTTATACGCAAATAAATTTTACTTATACTGATTGTTCATAATCGGGAATTTCGATTCCAGTAATTATTATTTATATTGATAAAGTGAGCTGTATTTTCGGGAACAATTTAATATATTGAATAAATCATTACTAGTTCCAGCATTAAAAAGTTCACACAAAGATTATTGGTCTTTCCTTGCTTCCCTCATTTCCTCATCGTCGTTCAAAAAATTCAAGATTTACCAGATGCAATGTTAACATAAAATTTTGACATTTAGCACAAAAATTAATTGGTGTTTATTCTTTACCATATGGGTTTCATAACATAAAAAAAACCTAACGTTATTGATCTAATTAAACCCAAATTGGAAAAAGAAAATAAAATGTACAATGTACATGGGAATATTTATTCCTTCCAACCCTTCATCGTATATTTTTTTTCTTTGATTAGAACGAAAAACAAAAGGAAACTTTTTTTTTTTAATTACGTACTTGAAAAGAGCTTTCATATATCGTATGATCAACCATATGCATGTGCCAATGTATACCAATAACATTCGTAATGAGTGGCGCTCGATCATCATGTTGGGAAAGAACAATTTTATTTATTTAGTTTTATTTCTGAAAGAAGATGATAATGAAATAAAAGGTGATGATTACACCATTGTATTCAAATCTTTTTCTTTAAAAAGTTTATTCTAAAAATACCATTTTTAAACAAATTTAGTTTCATAACCGAGCGCCCTACAACGGAGGAGTGAAAGTTCTGACAGCCGGCAAATTTTTTTTTTTTGATGTCGTGAAAATTAATCTGCGGCCAATCGTTTCGTTTGATTAAAAGGTTGGTAATCTTTAAAGTTTTTCTGTGAACTGCGGAAGGAGTCCAATTAAATTTTATTTTATATAATATATAATTTTAGATTAATAGGATTAAATTGTGTCACTGCATGAATGATATAGTGAATGATATACCTTTACAGTTACCATGTATTGAAGATCAACACTCGGGTGTCGGAATTCTTACTTTTACTTTTTTATTGTAATATTGTAATATATATTCTCATTGTAAACAAAAATAAGATAATACTAACCCTTATTATAATATGTAATTGTTATTTCAAAAAATTAATATAAATATGCCATTGCCCCTTCAACTCTAATCTTTACAAAATTTCGATATTCTATTAAAAAAAAAAAAAAAATTTCGAAGTTTTGGTTTATTTATTACGAAAAAAATTTTAACGTTTCTTTTCGAAGAAGAAAAAAAAAAAAAATTCCTCAAAAACTTTCTCGTCTCTATAATTTTCTTATTATTTAAAAATGGATACCGATTGGTGCATCATGTGCGATTCTCACTGCAATATTCCCGTAAGTATTAGAAAAAAAAAAGTGAAGAACATCTTTTTTTAATTTCGTAGCGTCCCGGTTTACTAAATTATTATTATTTTTTTTTCTTTTTTTTTGTTTCCCTAGGGTGCAATTTACTGTTCAGAAGAATGCAAACTTCAAGATCGTTTAAGTGCTTATCCATCATTGGCTTCGACCACAAATTCATCGATTTCATCAGTTTCTCTTCAATATCCTACGGGTGGAAATACAAAGTTTGAAAAATCACCAACCGTTAAATTTGTTACACCAAAGACGCCATCAATTCAATTTGCTAAAGTTCAACCACCACCACCACAACCAATGTTGTTTTATCATCGCGGGCCAATGCCTCGTTACAAGCACACCTCTTCGAAAGCATGTGCCAGTGCGAGTAACGTACGAGATAGAAAGATGTCAAAATCCGTATACGTTCAATAATTAAATTTTAATTCTTAATCAATTTTCTTTAATTATATAATTCAACATTGAACAAAAAAAAAATCTTTCATCCATCCATCATCTTTATTAATATATCATTTCCATCCACAAAAATTCAAAAAAAAAACAACGCACGTTTAATAATTTTTTTTTCTTTCTTACTTTGCATTTAATTCTTTTTTGCTCTTTTCTTTGGTGTTGGAATTTAATTTTTATTTGTCCATAATTTTTGATTACCTTGGCGAAGTGTAGGGTTTTTCTCGAGAAAAAAAAAAAAAAAAAAAATTGTATATATAAATTCAACTTGGCTTTTTTATTTTATAAAACGAAAAAAAAAAAAAAATAGAACAATTTATTTTTACTTGCTTTTTTTTGTGATTTTGGCTATCAAAAGCAAAGTAAAATACAAAAAAAAAAAAAGACATTTTTTAATGAATATTTTTTTTATTTAAAAAAGTTCTTTTTAATTATAGAATAAGAATATTCATTGTACATAGAATAGCTAGCTTTTTTTTTATCTTTTTTTTTTATATTTGCTTTCCCTTCGCCTGATATTTAAACGAAAAATAAAGGCTTAATAAAAAAAAAAAGAGAGATTTTTTTTTAATGAATCCGATATTTCCTTGCGGTTTATTTTACTAGTCAAATCATTTACTTTTTAAAAAGTTCATTTGTTTTTCGTTGGCGCAATAAACTGAAACAGAAATGTTTTTTATTAAAAAAAGAGGAAAAGGTTTTTGTCATTGGGATCATGTGTTAACTTTGGGTAATCATAAAAAGATTGAATAATCAAAAATTCAAGATCCAACACTTGTTTGCGGATGAATCACGCGTCTCGAACCTTTGTTTTTCTGAACTTTTTTTTTTTTTAGCAATTTTCCCTTGCACAAATTTAAAACGAAAATAAATTTGGACAAAACTAAATAATTGTCCCAGTACAAACATAAATATAAATAAAATTAAATCAAACAGGTTTTTACATCTTTTTGGTTAGAAGTCATTTAATTGGTATCCGGAATCCCTATTGCGTAACTTTCTCGTGATTTCATTATTGAAATGTTTCGGATGGTCAAAGCGAGGAAGGACACCAAGTTTTGAAACTGATAGACTGGTTCATGTAGGGCTAATTTCATTCATCATCCAATGTTCATATGTCTCACGATAAAGATTTCGTGATTATTTCCTTGTATAGTCTATCATTATCAAACAAACCTCGAAACACTTGATCAATCAATCCAAAAAAAAAAAATTTTTTTTTTTTCTTAATTTTACACCATCAATCAATTTTATTACGAATCTTAACGAAATTGGGTGTGTGTGAAACCACCCTCTTATTCAGATGCATGGAATGATCGACAACTACGGTTACATTGAGCGAATGTAAATTTAGAAAAGATGCCACGTTTTATCGTATGACATTGTCGTAAGACATCGAATTTCCGGATATGTGGCGAATTTTTACTTGAGACCAACACGGTAACCATGAAAGAAGCGAAGTCGGCTTTAGAACGGGTAGGGTAATGAGAATAAATCCGGTCAAATTCGGTTTTTATTCAGAGAGATTTCTAAGCCACATGCGTTTGAATGTAATCGATGATGCAATGAGCTTGACTTGGTCAAGATCCGAGTTGATCATCACAGAACCCATGAGTCATGATAACAATATGGTACCTTAAGGAAAGATCAACGGAGGAAAGGTATCGATGACACAATAAATCCAAGTAAATTGTCAACTTTCATAAATGTAAAATTACTTCTAAATCAATATAAATGATCTACCTTATTTCATGCAGGTAATGGGAAAACGCCTTAATACGATTTTTGATCAAAGAAATCGTATAGTAATTGACCTATTGCCTAATCTTAGAGAACAAACATGACACGAATAAGGGGGTGCCTTTATCACTTTCATCAAGGTAAGAAAAAAACCTGTTTGGCGTTTGAATTTACTCGTTTATATAAAAAATTTTATTTTCTTATTATGGTGCTTTTTTTTTGTATATAAAAAAAAAAAAAAATTGTACAAATTTATATCCGATTCTCATTTTAGGTTTTTTTTTGTTTGTTTGGGGACATTGCATTACAGTGAACGGAATTGATTCTACGAGGAGGTTACTGAAAAAGAAAGATATAATGTTTAACCATTTGATAAGTTTAAATTGATACCATAAGTGATGAGTGGGAAGCATTTCGTTTGCATGGGTGACCGTAATTGTTGTGCGATCAACAATAATTATTAAATTTTTTTTTTCCTTTAGCGAAGGGGCCACAATTGGCGGGAATAGAAAATAAAATTATTTTTTCTTGAATAATTGTAATGATAATGATAACAATCATAATGATGCATATAAAAAATAATTCATTGTAATATCTCGATAAAGTTTGGATCAGCCGGATGAAAAATCGGTGCTGCGCAGCATATAAAGACCATTGTTTGAGCCGGCACAATGAAATTGGAAAAGAAATCATTGTAAGTATTCTTGTTTTTCTCGTTTGGACTAAACGGATTAAAAAATGAATCAAACATCCCCCTTTGAAAAAAAATTTTTGTATTTTTTTTTTGTGGTAGATTGGAACAATATCTTACATAACCAATTTTTACATTGTTTGGCACTTTGTGCATTTTCGAGAAAATTTTTTTATAATTAATTACCATACAAGGTTGTGAGTGTGCAATCATATTTCATTCACGTTTTTATCTTTTTTTCTTTAAAGAAAATTCTTTTTTCGAGCTAATCTTTATAAAGGAAATTAATTAAACATGATGCTTGCTTTGATTGGACGGTTTTTTCTTTAAATTTTAAAATTTGGTTATATATTTTTATTTATTTGTTGAACTTTCTTTGTATGGAAAAAGAAAGGTTCTTTAAAAACAAAGGCCTTTCATTATGACAACATTGTTTTGAAAAAAATATTATCCGTAAATAAAAAGAATTTGAAACCGAAAAAGAAAATGGAAAAGGAGAACTATTATTCTCGGTATATTTTTTTATTATTATTATTCTTCGTTGAATCAGTCACCAAAAAAAAAAATTTTTTTTTTTATATTCTAGTGGATCACCTTTTTTTTTACAACCAAATTTACGTATTAAAAAGGTAAAAAATTTCCATGTATGTCATTTGTCTTTCAATTTCCGTGCTCCGCGTGTTTTTATTCAATCCTGAATCCTTGTATATTCGGAATGCCACTTTTGTTTGATTAAAAAGGGTATTAACGGTTTTTATTTAGTTTCTGCAAAATATGGAAAGGAGCGGAAGTAAAAGGTTTCAATCAAATTATGTTACAACAAATTTTTAAGATTGTTGCATCAATAAACCTTAATTTTTCTTCTTCAATAAATCGTTTCAAAACTTTTATTTACATTAACCCTTTTTCGTCATAAACTCTTGTCAATTTCTTTCTTTTTTACATCAATAAGCTCCTTTGTTTCTTATAGTGATTGATTCTATGATACAGTATGTTTCCATAGCAAAATAGATGTACTTTAGAAAGGTACGAATCTCATTTTGGTAATCTTCTGAACTTTATTAAAGTTATAATCAAGTGGACAAAACTTCATTATCGTACGATATTTAACGATCTAATCAAATCCAGACGTATGATTTTTTGTCACTCGTATTTTCTAAAATTATTTTTCTCACGTTATTTATCTTTCATTTCAATTAACCCGATTAACACCTTTAAAGATTAACGATTTCACGCACATATTGATACGAATGAATAATAATAATATAAACCTGCTGCTAAAATTACAAATTATTATTGTACTTTGAATTATTATTTTTTCTTTCATGTAACAAAAACCATCCGATTTTGCTAGTCCGTCTTGGGTTAAAATAATAATTACTTCATGTCAGTTCTTTTATTACTAATTTAAATCGTTCGACAGAATAATTTTAATTTATACCATTTTAGAAAATAATTTTCAGATGGTTAAATTTCTTAAATGCCGTAATGCCGACCTGAAGATTACAGAAAAACGTCCATCGGTGAAGTCATGTGATTTGTATCGTTATTCTTACATATTTTCTTAAAAAAAAAAAAAAACTAACGTTTTCTTCTAATCCTTTTGCATTCCATACTTTAATTTCTTTTTATGAGTAGCGATCGTTAAACTAATTCTATTTCTTTTTTTTTTTTATAACTTTACCTTTATTAATAATTTAATATTTGAAAAAAAAAAAAGAAATGAGAAACATAATAATATTTATTCTGATTACTACTTACTATTTCAGTTCATTATTTTGTATTGTAATGACAATATTTATTAAAGAATATTTTTTGAATAAAATCAAATTCAATTGTGAAAATTATATAAAATAAATATTATATAAAATTAAATTTTCATAATATAAAACCAAAATGAAAAAAAAATAGGATATAAAATACAAATAATTATTATATATAAATTATTAGTTCAAAAATTTTTTTAAAAATAAAATTAAGATAGTTTAATCAACTGATAATATTTCCTTATAATACAAAAAAATATAATATAATTTTTTTGTACATTCTTCTTTAGTCTTTTTGTCTATTCTTACTTTTTTTCTTTTTCAGTCCTTACTAAGATGTACTTCTTTTGCATCTTTTGTTTTCATTGCTCTTCTATTGCATTTTTATAATGCTTCTTTACTAATAGATTGATTATTCATCTTTAGTTTATTTTATTTTTTTGTGTTCTTAATAAAATCTAATCTCTTATCATCTCATGTCTTTACCTCCTTATTTATAAGAAAATGATTTACATATATTACACATTTATAAAAGATCAACAAAATAATACTATTTATTTATTTTTATTAATAAAATAATATTTTGTAATACATTTAAATACTAATCTATTAATTAAAACTTTTAGGTAAAACTTAAAAAAGGAAATTGTAATAATACACTTGATTATTAACTATTATTATAATTTCCTTTATAAATCATGAATCTTTGCTTTAAACTCACAACAGTTCCCATTCTTTAGTAATATATTGTAAATAGTTTAGTTATATTCAATAATTTTTTGATAATTTTAAAATTTAAAGAAACTTTATTTAACTATATAATTATTAAAAAAAATATATTATTTAATAGTTCTTGAAATGGTCTATAAAACTATATATATTTTAAAATTTTTTTTATTTAGAATTAGTTAATATTAATTTTAATAGTAATAGGAAGATTTTTAATATCACCAGTATCATATGAAATAATATTATTAGTATATTATATCTTTACATATTACTGAATTTTTTTAAAAAAATTTGAGACTAATATTGCTTAATTATAAAAATAGCAATTTTACTTGAAATTCAAATACAGTAGGATATCAAAAGTTATTAGACAATTAAATTAGAAAATCAATGAAAAAAAGTTCTTTTAAATTAAACTATTTATTTATTAATTAAATCAATTTTTATGAATAAGTAAAAATGTATGTTATAATAAAATACATATATTTTAAAGATTTTATAGATAATAATCAGTAGTAAATTTTATATTATATATTTAATACAACATTTTATATATTAATATAAGACTTTAGTTAAAATAAAATATTGAATTTTTTAGTTTTAACTTATTATATTTCATTAATTTAACTTGTTTATTACATTAAAAAATATATTTTCTTTAATGTATTTTAATTAATTATATTTATACAAAATCAATATATCTTATATAATGCAAAATTAGGTTAAGCAGAAAAAATATATATTATATAATAGTCTAGTTTATTTGAATTAGAATTATAATTTAGCTTAAATTAATAAATTACTAATTAAATTATATTTTAATAAACAAATTATATTTTTTCCAGATATAATTATTTTATTAATAATTTATAATAATGTCAAATTAATATAATTAATTTTAATATCATTAAAATTAATTAATGTTAAAGTATAATCAGAATTATATTATATATACATATTTTTCTTAAATATTATAATATAAGACAAACTATTAAATATTTTATTATTATAAATAAGTAATTATTTTTTGTTATCTTTTATATTTATTCTTGAAATCACTTAAGTATTATCAACAAATGCATTATAATTGCAATTATTATTAAATATGAATAGAATAACTTTTTCTAAATAAATATATTCAAATATTAGAATATTAGAGTAACTCACTCTTTTATCTATTTAATGATATCTTTATTTTTTTACTAATCATCATAATTTATATTAAAATATATTATAAATTCAATGTATACAAGTTGTTTACTATCAGAAAATAAGTTATAAGTAAAATAATCCTTATCATAAGAGTCAAAATCATTTAATAAATTTATAAAAAAGTTACTTATATGAATATTAAAACTTTGTGACTTATAATAAAGTTACTTTTTTATTATTAAATTTTAAGCTTTAATAATATCATTATTAATACAAAAAATTAATTTATCATAAATAGCTAAAATGATTTCAGAAATATTTAGTAAAATATAAATAGAATGATCTATTTTAAATCTTTGCTTTTATAAGTAGCAATTCATTCTTATAATCCTATTTAATACTGTAAAAATCAATATTTATTACTATTATATTTTTATACTTATAATCATTAAAATAAATATTTTTGAATAGTCTTTATATTTTAATTAAATACATATAGTTATTTATGTAAGTATGAAATATTTATTTTCTTTTATTTTAAAGGTAAGGATTACTTCATATTCAATAAATTTTACAAAATTAGCAATATTTAATTTAAACTTATATACTTATAAATATTTAATAACTTATTATTTAAAGTATTTATAAAAAAAAAACCCCTAATTTTTATATAGCAATCATATTTAGATATAATAATAATATTATTTTTAAGCTATTAATTCACTTATAAATAGATAAGATATATTTATTATAGACTCTTATTTAA